TTCGCTACGACATCCGAGGCACTCGTGGCCTCGTGTGGTACCGTTGTACCCACACAGGAAGCGTGTTCAACGCCTTCCTCTTCAGTTAAGGTCTGGGCGACCGCGTGTGGCACTGTGTTACCCACACAGGAAGCGTGTTCAACGCCTTCCTCTTCAGTTAAGGTCTGGGCGACCGCGTGTGGCACTGTGTTACTCACACAGGAAGCGTATCCGACGTCTTCCTCTTCAGTTATGGTCAAGCATCTGCCGGATGCTTTGGTACCCTGGCAGCCCTCGCGGGCGCCCCGGGTCCTGACAGAGGTGGGAACATGACTCACCAATGCTCTGTCGGACTGCGCAGGGCGGCTGGCACCGATTGCCTTGCCTCGCCAGTCGATCCAGGGCTCGTGCTTCTCAAGCCAGGGCATGCCCAGGATCATATCATATGGATCCATATCGAGAACAGTGAACTGTTCGAGGCTGTCAAAGTCTTCAAACTTGACAGCCAGATCCACTTGGACGTTGGGGACAGTGACGACCTTCCCGTCGGCCAGTCGCACTGACACCGTCCCGTTGCCCTTGCTTTCTCGCAAAGCTTCGGACAACTTGTTGCTGTTACGAGCAACCGTCTGGGGCGTGCGAAAATTCTTCGACGCCCCAGAGTCAATCAAGATTCTAAAGGGGTGATCGTACCCCCGTACACATCCGTGTACTACGAGCAACCCGCCGCTGCTCTTCGCCGATTCGAGAGTGCGAAGACTCTCAGGGGGCTAAGTCCCCGTGGTACGCGGCCACCCGCGCACCCATCACGGAAGACTTAGGTCTTCCCCAGTAGGGGCGCCCGCCCCCTACTGGTTCCCTGCGTTCCCCTGTCCCCGGGGTCCTGGCGGCGTGCAGGCGATTCTTTCGGACGGGCCCCAGGAAAGGTCAATCTTTCCAAGGATTTCCGCCTAAAAGTCGGGGTTTGATCGTACCCCCGTACACATCCGTGTACTACGAGCAACCCGCCGCTGCTCTTCGCCGATTCGAGAGTGCGAAGACTCTCAGGGGCTAAGTCCCCGTGGTACGCGCCACCCGCGCACCCATCACGAAGACTTAGTTCTTCCCCAGTAGGGCGCCCCGCCCCTACTGGTTCCCTGCGTTCCCCTGTCCCCGGGATCCTGGCTTCTGCCAGCGACCCTTGAGGACGGGCTTGGGGAAGGACCGTCTGCGGAGTCTTTCCGCGGGACAGTCGCGCTTGAAGTGGCCCATCTTCCCACAGCCGAAGCAGCGGATGTCACGCTGTTCGGCGGACCCGAGTTCCATGGGAACTGGTCCGTTGGGGCTTGTTCGACCGGGAGCCGACAAGGAACTCCCAGGCCACGCTGAGGCCGGCGTACGCGCCTGGCGATGGCTGTATTCTTCTTGAAGAGCCACTTGAATCGCCTCTTCAAGGGTGCTTGCCTGCACCCGGAACAGCTGAGTGCGTGCGGGGCCCACTCGAAGGCCGTCCATGAACACAGTCATCTTGATGTGTTCATTGAGTGGGTTTCCCACTAGGGACGCCGTGAGCTCCCGTATCTCTTGCACATACTCGTGCAGCTCGCGTCTTCCTTGTTTACACGCGAGGAAGCGCGAACGCTGGCGGTACTCGTAGTTCGCCGGGAGGAACGCGGCTCGGAGCTGTTCGCACAGCTGAGCCCAGGATGTGAAACATCCAGGGGATGTCGCTTCCCGAGTGTACACCCAACTCTTAGCACGACCGCTAAGGTCGGAGAGTGCAAAAGCAACACGCAGTTGCTCGGTCGAGATCAGAGCCGCGTCCATCGCGAGCTCTACTTCTCGGACCCAGAAGTGAAGGTTCTCGCCTTCCTTCCCTTCATACGGCTTTACCTTCAGCCGTATTGGCTTCGGGTGAGGCGGGTTTGCTTCCGCCGCCGGAGCCTGCAGGTTCTCCCGCACATGCGCGATGAGGCCCTGCTCGTACGCGTCGAATGCATTGACGCGCTCGAGCTGCTCAGCCGGTGTTGATACCACCAGGCTCTGCAGGGCCTCCATCCCGAAGATGCCTGCCATCTTCCGAACCGACTCGAACTGAGAGTCGTTCATATGGGAGAAGTCGTTCCTATCCATGGCAACGAACTTCGGAGGTTCAGGTAGTCTACCCGCGATGGCGTGGATTGACTACAAGTGCTACCAAGTGTGACGGCACCTTGCGCTAGAGGAAGTTATCTTCCGAGAGTATACAAACTCTCAGTGAACGGCAGTTCACTGGTCCCCTCTTTAATTAAAGAGAGCGAAGTGACCTAAATAAGGTAGATTGTAAACTGAGTATATTTATAGGTAGGTTAAGTTTGAGGTTAATACAAACTATCAGTTACCTATAGAAATGCAATGTCATTTAACCAATGAATGACCTTGGTACCTTGTACCAAATATCCCGGAGTATGACATGTCATACTCCTGAAGTGTGAAGTGTCACACTTTATGTAACCAGGGTACACTTAGTGCTACGTACCCCGTTACATCGTGGTTGTCTCCAACTTTGGAGACCCTTTGGAGCCAAAGGGTCTTTCTTCCATCTAAAGCCGCACGGATTCGGCTTGTAGCTACCGCACACAACTGACCAATGGTGTCGTGAGAAATCGAACCTTTGACAGTTGTATGAACTGGTTCTGAGCCGGCGGTTGAGGTTCTGCATTCTAAGTGGGATGATGTCCGAGCCCCAAAATTATCAGAACCCAGTTCCTGGTTCTTGGTGGTTCTGATTGTTTATGTTCCGGCTCGGTTCTTCTTACTACCGTAAGCCACGGCCTCAGTGCGACGCACGGTTTCAATGCAGCATCTTAAAAGACATAAACGGAGAAAGGAAAAGTGCGATTCTAAGAAGTATAGAGACGACACACTAACGGTTGTAAGAAAAACTCATCAGTTTTTCTCTTTAAATCTTCGCATTGTTGCATTTAATGGACATAATTTTTTTTACCATAAAGTTTGCTAGCAATAAATATATGTGGTTCTCACGGCTGGCATGTTGCAGGACCAACTACCCAATCAGATTATCGGAACATTGACAGAATGCTAACCTGCATTTTAGATGGGTCGGTGTCACCATACTCTCATTTTGCAGGAGGTAAAAATTATCGGAATCCTATTAGATGCAAAACATTCGAGCCGTGAGAACCACAATTGCACTGGAACTTCTTACAGCTATTGCACTGAGATCGTTGTTTACGGTACTTCGTACTGCTTCGAACGGTCAGAGCAGAGGCATTGCGTCCAGGAAAATGTACTTCAAACACGATCGAGTTCATGACAACCTTCTTTCCACTACAAATCTGAATACGATTGAAGAGAGCGAGCGAATGATTGAATCTGCTGTTTGTTTTTCTTTTTTTCTTTTCATCACCTCACATGAAGCCATGGCCGTCTTCTTATCTCGCTCTTGAGCTACGCGCACGCGTCGCCGCTGCTGTCCACGGCACGCATTACCATTCTCGCCGCTTTTACTCGACCATCGCGTCTAATTTTGCCTCCATCCGCGCCATCGCAGTCGCCAACTTGTCGATGTCAGCAGTGTGTTGACCTAGTGTGTGGAACATCGCTCCCTGCTGTGTTGCTAACTGCTGCTGAGTCTCCGTGGTACGGCATAGCAGGTCCATCAGCATTGTCTCCATCTTGGGACCTGCCGTCACCTGCCCGTCGCCAGCATTGGCCGCCACAAGATCCTGCGACGCGCCAGTCACGGGCTGAGCCACCACCTGGTTTGCAATGCCAATTCCTGATCCTCGAAGCGGCTCGGCGGGGCGTTTGGGCGCCTCTGATTGCTGATCATCACTCTCGACGACCTCCACTGCCTCGCCATTATCAACAGGCGCAGCCACAGCGTTCTTACGGTCCTCCAGGTTTTTCATCGCCACATTCGACAGTTTCTCCAAGGTCGCGATATCACACGTGTTGCGTGGCTGCGTGTCGAACACAAACACCGTACCCAGAAGGTGGCCGGACGGCGTACAGATCGGTGCGCCGGCATAGAATCGGATTTTCGCCGCTCCCGTCACCAGCGGGTTTTTAGCGAATCGCTTGTCCAGCAGAGTGTCCATAACGACCATTGGCTCCTTAGACATGATGGCGTGCGCGCAGAAAGACACGGAGCGCGGCACTTCGTTCTGCGCCAGACCCACGCTCGCCTTGAACCATTCGCGGTCCTCGTCCAGCAGACTCACGGCCGCGATGGGGCTCTTGAGGGCGTTGCTGGCCAGGTCACAGATAATATCGAACACGTCTTCACTGGGCGTGTCCATAATGTCAAAGCCGCGCAGAACTTCGAGACGCTCAGACTCGCCTGGGACGATGGGGGGCTTTGGCCATGGATGGTCCCAGCTGAAGTCGAGCGGGTAATCGAATTCAGACTGTTGGAAGTCGCGCGTAAAGTGCGACAAGTCGCCCTCCGAGTTGCCAGTGGGCGAGTGGAAGTTCTGTGCTTCCCAATGCTCCTCACGCGGGGGCGGGGGCGATACCGTGCCCGACGTGGGGGCAGGAGGAGGCGCCTGCGGGTTTGCCTGGCCGTTGGCATGCGACAGGATGCATGACATGCATACACGCACTAGCGAGCGGCCAATTACAGGCAGTTCCGCTTCCTTCTTCAGTGTACAGTTGCCACACACCACCTCTCCACACTACATGAGCATCAGACACAGTTAACTATGGTCAGCCGATCATGGTCTCCCTTAAATTTATAGTACTGCAAGGTGTACCTTGCGACAGTGATGCTTTCGTCGGAAGCGCGTAAAGTTCCTCGTACACACGTGACATCTGTATCGCTCCGTGTCGAGCACCCAGTCATCCTGGTGGCGCAGCTGATCGATGGTCAGCACGTCGTTGCCGCCGATGGTGCTGCTGCCCTTGAGTCCCTTGCGCGACATGCTGCGGTCTGTCTACCTAAAAAAGATAAACGAAGGAGGAAGGGGACGAGGAGAACAGGGGAGAGTCCTTCAGTCTTCGCGAGACAACGCAAGGACGCGCACACAAAGAGCTGCGGGCTTACGTCAAAAGTGTGTACTGCTGCTGGTGGGGCTGGGGAGGGGATACTCGGTGAGGGGGGGCTCGGCGGATTGCCTTGGCTTGAGTGGGGGCGCTCTCTGTCTCTCGCTCACTGCCTTCCGCTCCACGCGTGTACACGAGTCGAGTCGGCCGCCAAACTGAGTAATAAGTGGCGCGCTCCGGGCCTCTTTGCTGCGAAGAGAGTGCATACAAATTCCAAGAGCAGTTCGACGGTCAAGCGAAAAGCCATTTAGGCTTTTTTATCCTGGCTTCGCCCCCTCGTCAGCTGTCGTACAATCGTAACAGCTAAAATGGGCCCAAAAATGGATTACCCATTATGGGTATCAAAGATAAATAGGCTTAACATGCAGCCTTGACTAGAGTCTGACTTGAGGAAACCTGAAGATATGTACAGCAGACTCTTGTTGCAGCTTAGACCGACCTTCATTTTTTTGCTTTCCTTGATTAACGCTTTGCTTATTAATAACAGGGGTCTTTGTTCTCATTTCCTACATTTGGGTACAGGCCCGTTTCTGCCAAGTACCCCTTTCGGTAGCCTACTCCGAGCCTCTGTAAGATTTTGTGTGGCTCAGGTGTGTGCCCTTGCTGGCAAGCCTCACTTGCTCTTATGAAGGCGGTGATAGGTTGGTCTGGCATCCATCTGCTTCGACCTCAAAATACTAATATAACGAGGCGAACCGTCTTAAGACGGAGCTATAAACAGAACAGGCTTCACTCAAACGAACGAGGTGTCATCTCCCCTCGCAGGGCGAGCCAATGCCTGGATCGTCAAGAATGCGGGCTGGGCGACACAACACGTCCAGATCTTTACTTGCCACTTCTTTTGTTCGGCGATCGCGCGACGCTCACAGAGTTTCATGCAACAGCCAAGCAAGATGTCTCAAAAAGCCTGCATTCCCAGAGAAGAGACAAAAAGGTAAAACAGCACCACATATGACCCAATTGACGCAGACGCAAAGTAAGCTTACGAACTTCGTAACGAAGCGCCAAGCACTGGTCCACTGGTGGGCCAATGTGAAATTTGTTCATTTTTGCTTGATCATCTGTATTCATATTGCTGATCTCCAGCAAACCCGCACTCGCATGGCGAAATCTGCGGCTCGTTTACATGTACTCAGATCGCGTTCCGCCCCGCCACCATCTTAGTGCATTGCCACCTCGGATCGGCATCTTTACTAAAACTAAATGAACTGTGAACAGCTACGGCAGCGGAGACAAACTTTAGCTTCGAGTGTGTGGCATCAAGTCATATCTTTTCCAAGCACAGACTTGAAGCTGCTCACGCTGCAGTCAATGAGCTGGAGCGTTGGCAACAACAGGCTCTAGCCGGACGAGCTCGCGTCGACCATCCGACACGCGATTGTCGAGCGAAATTAGTCACCAGCACTCTGCGGCCCACGTCCCTCGGTGGACCTTGGGGCTGCTGACGCATTGTGCGACGAGCTGCTTCGATGCCGAACTGAAATGGCTTCGCCACAAAGTTCGTGGGAATCCGTTTACACAACGTGACGCTTGCTATTTTCGGATCCTTCCATTAAGCATATCCCACTCATGTATTCTGTTCCGCAGGCTACGTTCGCCACCGTCTTCACTGAGAAGTCTGCCATGGCGAGTCGCCTCAAGGAATACCGCTACTACCTCAGCAGCGGCGTGAGCACAGGCATCAGCGTGAAGATCTCGCTGATAGAGCTTGCGCCTGCACTTGGCTGCTCCGTCAGTGGCGATACGCCCAAGCGCGCTGTGTCGGAGCGGCCGCTTGCGGGTCTGGAACAGCTAGCGGGGACATCATCGGAGGTACGCAACTCTCCTGTAAGCGAGATCTTCCTGACCGCGCAGGTATTCTCCGATGGTCTACCGCTGCATCCCATGGTCATCAGGTGCGTGTCGTCGCTCTGTCGGTACCTTGGTATCGTTTTATGAGGTCTTGGAAGCTGAGATATGGCGTCTATTGTGTCGTTCTCAGTTCCAAGAGCCCCACCAAGTGCAGCAACTCGACCATCTACTGGAATGAGTGGATCTCCTTCCCCGTGCGCTATCGCGACCTGTCTCGCAACTCGCTACTGGCCATCACGATCTGGGGAGTAGGCTGGGTGCCTATCGGCGGTTCCACCATCTCCTTCTTCACCAAGCAAGGCGTACTACGCGACGGCGTGCAGTGTCTCCGTATCTGGGAAGGACGCGAAGCTGATTCGTCCCCGAACACAGCCACACCCTCAGAAATCGACGAAGAGTGGGTACGCCAGGAATGTTTTCGACTGGACAAGCTGCGTGAGAAGTACGAGCGCAAAGAAATCGCTCGCAACGAGTGGATGGATAGCGTCACAGACCGACGCATTGCTCGCATCCGACGAGGCAGTGAGCCGCCCACCCGGAGAGATGCACTGGGTCCATTCTGCTCGTACCGTGAGGACGCCTTATTGTGGCTCGAGATGCCGTACTTTGGAGACGTCGTATTGTACGAGGAAGAACCCTACTCACAGCGCAACTTGACCTCCTCGTACACTGCAGATATGGGTCCACGACGGATGAATTACGACAGCAACAGCGCGTCCTCCTCGACGCCGTCCTACGACTCACATACACTCAGTGGATCGTACGATCTGGCCACGAACACAGGCTCTTCTGGGTCCAGAGAACTGCCAAGTCTCGTGACTGTGTGGGACCCCGATCTCAACGAAGACAACCCAGCTGAGCGCAAGTACCGTCGTCTGGCACGCGATATCTTGCGTGGGTCGATTGACCCGAATCTCAAGCCCAGTCGAGACGAAAAGGCTCGGATTGAGCAGTTGCTGGCTACGCCGACCGACAACTTGAAGAATGAAGACAAGGATCTGCTCTGGAAGTTCCGCTACACGCTCACAGACAACAAAAAGGCGGTGGTGAAATTTCTACTGTCTGTGGATTGGAAAGACGAACTGGAAGTCAAACAAGCGACCGATCTGCTGTCTCAGTGGTGCGAAATCGACATCGCCGACGCGTTGAAGCTGCTGGGGCGCGAGAAGGAGTTTAAGCACGAAATTGTGCGTCATTTCGCTGTGTCGACGCTGGCAACAGCCAAGAACGAAGATCTGCAGGACTTTTTATTGCAGCTGGTGCAGGCATTGCGGTATGAGAAGCCTGGCGCCCCCATCACGTCATCGCGTGGCGGATTGAGTGGCGATGAAAGCAGCAGTACCGACGGATCGCCCGGTGAACTTGGCCCTCTGGCTCGGTTCCTTATTGCTCGCTCGAGCACCAACTTCCAGATGGCCAATTACTTTTATTGGTATTTGAAAGTGGAGGCTGGCGACCAAACCAACGACTCGGAGATCTTCCACACGGTGCTGAACCAGATGCTGACCGAAATGAAGCGAGACGAAGAGAAGAAGCCAATCTACGACATGTTGATGGCTCAACGTGACTTCATGAGCCACATTTTAGCCATCCACAACAAGGCTCGAGAAGAAAAAGGAAGGAAAGATCAAAAGGAAGAGAAGCTGCGTCAGTTCCTCAAGCAGTTCCCGTGGCCCAAGGGCGCTGTGATCTCTCTGCCTCTGGACCCCACTGTCCACTTGAGTGGCGTTGTGGCCTCGTCGGCCAAGATGTTCAAGAGTGCAATGTACCCGGCTGTGATCCAGTTCCAGACTGTCATTTCCCCTGATCAGCACCACGCAGTCGCTGAGGGCGAGAACCACCACCCTCCGAACCTCAACCAGTCGATGTTTGGCGGAAGCGACTCGAATATGATGCGAGAGTCGCTGCCCACACGCATGATCAGCTACTTGCACCGCGAAAAGGAAGGGCCGATGTACAAGTTTATGGTGAAAAACGGTGACGATCTTCGCCAGGATCAACTGATCATGCAGATGTTCATTCTGATGGATCGACTGCTGAAAAAAGTCAACTTGGACTTGAAGTTGACTCCGTATCGGATCCTAGCGACGGGTGCGAACGATGGGTTGATGGAGTTCGTGCAAGACTCGTACCCAGTGTCATATGTGGTTTCCCACTTCGAATCGCCCCAGATCGTGGGCTTTTTAAGGAAACACAACCCAGATCCGAGTGCAGAGTTCGGAATCGCACCCGAAGCGTTGAGCACGTATGTCAAGTCAGTGGCTGGCTATTGTGTGCTGACGTATCTGCTGGGAATCGGTGATCGTCACTTGGACAACCTGATGATGAAGGCGGAAGGCCACATGTTCCACATCGACTTTGGGTTTGTGTTTGGTGCTGATCCCAAGCCTTACCCGCCCCCATTTAAGTTGACGAAGGAAATGGTGGAAGGTATGGGCGGTCCTACCAGCGAGCACTACCAGAAGTTCACAACCTACTGCTGTCAAGCGTACAACTGGCTGCGCAAGAGTGCCGATCTGATTTTGAACCTTCTCAGTCTGATGGCCGACTCTGGCATCGAAGAGTTGTCAGCGAATCCGGCCACGACGTTGCTCAAGGTGGAGGAGAAGTTCCGTTTGGACCTGACTGATGAGCAAGCAGAGCAGTTCTTCCTCGGTCTCATCAACGATAGTGTGTCTGCTCTGTTCCCGCTGCTAGTGGATTGGATCCACAAGGTCGCGACCAAGTTGAAGTAGACGCGTCGATTTTTTCTTGCTCATTTCCCACAACTTACGTTGATGTTTCCCTCCGTTAAATTTGCCGAAACTAATGAATAATTTTCTTCATATCGTTGCTTTCCCACTACCGAAAGCTAGTTGCGAGCTCACCAGAACGCTGTTGGCTTGTCGGAAATCCCGCAGCACCATGAGCTTCTCGGGTGGGTGCACAAAGCCTCGTGTTGCGTCGGTTATTGCTAGCGCTGCTTCTTGTTTCTGGACGTGTTCTTGGAAGTGCAAGTCGAGCATTTCGTTCATCCGGAGATGCTTTTTAGGCTTGGAAGTGGATGGAGAAGCCACTCGAGTGGGAGGTAGCATAACGCAACGTGTTGTGTCTATTCCACTTGGAGTATGTGAGCTATGAGCAGCGATGGAGTCTGCGGTGGGCGACGAAATAGTTGGGAGCGAGACGTGAGGAGGTTTGAGGGAGAGTTGCATCGGATCCAGTGGGAAATATCGTTCCAGAAGCTTCGACACTTCGATGACGGCACACACGTATGTGAGTTCTCGCTCGTATGACGCATCATGCAGCTTTTCGGCTGCTTCATGAACGTTTCCTATGCTTTCCGCTAGAGCGCAGAAAGCGACTTCGTCTGTCACTAGTGGCTGTCGACCTCGAATCCGTGCAATATTTCCGTATAATGCATGTCGCGAGTTGAAAAGTTCTGGTGCAAGAGCTAGAAGTTTCTCCCAAAACTCAATCCATGGCATTGTCGAGGAAACATATCCTAGCTGCATGAGCGTAACCAAATATTTAAAATATGAGAGCAAGACAATATTCAGAGTAACGAGTGGCTTACCTGATGAAATGTGTCCATGGACTCCTTTCGACGTGCGTCCAGACGATCTTTCTCAGGAGAGAGCAACCCACTCCGCAGTTGTGAGGTAGCTTTAAGCCGGGCATTAGACCGAGACGACGGTGATGCTTCTCGTCCTCGATACTGTGGGCTTGTGAGCAGCTCGGCCATTTCTTCCATCGCTGCTTGCTTCCTCGCGAGAAAAGACTCATGACGGTGCTCGACACTTTCAATGACGTTCTCTTCGTGTCTATTCGCTTGATTGTCATCAAGAGCCACCGCTTTCTGCGGCAAGCTTTCTTCTTTTTTAACTTCCGTCTTGTTGCTGGCTTCTTCGACTTTTGCAACAACTGAAGCCTTTCGAGGTGCAATCGTGCTCTGTTTTCGCTTGGACAAGCTGGGCATCTTCGTGACTGGAGTTTCTATATCCGGTTTGGCGTTCAGATTCCGTCGACTTCGGCGGAAAACACGCTGAAGACGTCGAGCTGCCTTGCCATATACCTCGACCCGTACTTCTTCTACCGTCTGGACGACAGATCTCTGAAGGAGCTGCGCATAGCGCACTTCATACGAGACATTGAGCTCAGTCAACGTAACTAACGGAGGAACGTGGCGGTTCGCAGTGCGTGCACGTTTATATTCTGTCACGCACTTACCGTCTTCACCCAACGACTGGAAGCAGAGGCCGAGTTTGTAGTGAATAGCAGCAAGCGCTTGCGACTGTTTAGCGAAATTCAGAGCGATCGCGTAATACTCCAATGCGAGCGCATAGTCTTCGTGATGTAAACATTTCTCCGCCAGAGCGTGCCACAAATCAAAGTACTCTTCATCTTTGAGTGTGGTCGCTTGCTGCTCATTCTTGTCTTTCAAAACGGAGACTAGACTTTGAGCTGCCGAGACGTAATCTCCACTGGCCTGCTGGCACTGCATCAACATCAGGCCATAGTCTGCTGTATCGTAGACTGGCGAAGGTAAGATTACACCAGTCCGACTTTTAGTCTTCTCGTGGAGGGTGATAATTCTGTTCATACAGTCAATCGCATCCACGTAAAGTTTCAGGCGATGCAGTACTTGGAACTGAAGAAACAACAAGTTCGGTCGATCTCTATCGCAAAAGATGACAAATTGCGAAAACAATTCATGAAAAATATCTCGTGTCTTCTTCAAGTTGCCGTCGCCTTTGTGCCAGAACAGAACAATAGCATAACGAAGCAGTAGCATCGGGTCCACTAGACTCTCCAGATACGCAAACGCGCTCGTAAACGCTCGAAAACTCTTGTCCAAATGAAATCGCGCAGCGGGCAGATACTTCCGCTGACGCATAAAAATGTCCAAGTGCGCTGAACCAAGCCAGAACCAGTACTCTCGCGTTCCTGTTGCATGTTTGTGCAGTAGAGCAGCATTCTCCAAGAGTAAAATCGCCGGCATACTGGTATCCGGAGAACGAGCATACCGGTAACCCAGTTTGAGCAAGTTTTCCTCATTCTGTGGATCTGCCATTACGAGTTCCTCATACTGGAGACAGCCCACCTTTTCGATAATGTGTTTACCAGCCATCCACGTTCCCCATTTCTTGTGATAAGTGGTGACGCTATGAGCTGCTCCGGATGGCTGAGGCTTTGATATCGTTTGGCGTTTGGTAGAAGAGCAGGATATTGCGCCGGCGCTCGTTTCAGCTGACGCTTTTGACGTCGTCTTCGCAGTATTTGAGGAATGTAGGCCTGGTAGTTGGCTTTTCGGATTAATTGTACTCGTTCGACGCACACTGCGAGGCTGGTCACTGTTGTTCACATCTTCTGCTGTATGTCGACGCTCGAGCTTAGACGGTAACTGTTGTACCATCACTTGCGTTTCTGCTATCTGTACTTCTAAGCTTCTTCGTTTCGAGCCCAACACTTTCGATGTCTTGACCTGACCAGTAGTTGTCAAGCTCGACTTCTTCCTTGGATTCACGGATTTTTTGCGTGGAAATTCAACTGGTTTCTCACGATCTGGAGATGCTTCTAGTGTGGACTCTTCGCGCAGAATAGAAGGTGTTCTTACCAAGGAATTGTCATCAAACAAACGCAACTCCGGTGTACTAAATTGCTCCGCCCCGTTTTCAGTTGGTTTCTGCGGCGGTGTCGTTAGACGAGGTTCAAGTTGATCTCTTATCACCGTTTCGTCATGGTCATAATTTTGCTCCATCGGTGCCATATCTTCTGCAGCATCTAGAAGTACACTTGCCCCTTCTTCGCTAGGCAAAATCTCATCGCTCGGTTGAGTGTTGTTTTCATCTGGAACACTTGCACGGTTTGATGCCACGTTACTGCCATAATGATTTTGATCACTGTCGAACAGAGCGGTGTGTGAGAGCTCTTCTGTCAGCGTAGCGAACGTCAACATAGTCGCACTATCGTCATCGTTGCAGTCGGCAGATAAGTCGATCGCTTTAATGTTGTCACCGGAACGACTACTCTTTACTGGCGTGTCCACTACTTCGCCACCATTGTCAAGAGTATTTAATTCATTCTGGATAACGACTGAATCGCCAGTGCGATCGATAGAATCGAGCGCTTCAGTGGACATTCCCGGCATAACATTTTCTCCGTATTGTTCTGCATCATCATGACTCAGATAGTCGTCGTTGTTAGCACATAATAAATGATCTTTCGCTGGCTCTCCATCGTCTTCATCGACCCGTGGTGAATTCGCACATGATCGAATCTGGTTGTTAGATATAATATCCTCGACTTGTTCAGCTAGCTCACAAAATTCCGTTTCTTCAACGTCTTCTTTCTCCTCAGCGAACTTTGTTGTATCAATCAATCCCTCCAAGACATCTTCCTCCGCCGGCCGTTGCTGCTGGTCTTCAAGCTTATCAGATTCCGCTGCATTCACCTCTACTGCTACTGTGGAAATCTCTCCTACATCGCCATATAGTTCTGGATACAATACAAGCTCACTCGGATCATCCCAACATTCTTGTCGAGAGGTAGAAGGAAAAACTTCGCTCTGAGAGTTCAACGAGAAAGCCAATCGATCAAGACCTGACGTATCTACTTGAGCCTCGTCATCAAAGACCGAGTTCACTCCCGCTGGTGGCAAATCTGCGTTCTCAGTATCATCGACAACCCCTTGACATAAAGTACTGTCGGCTTGTGATAACTTGTCCATACTCTCACCAGCAGGCTCTTCATCATTCTTACCCTCCTCAAGAATCAACTCATTTGATTCTCGAGAATACAACACCACTTCGGGGTCAGGAGATACCACTGAAATCTCCTTTTCCTGGACGACATCACGTGCACTAGATGCTTTCTCTGGCTCTGGTAAAGCCAGAAATTTTTGAGCAGGTGCTTTTGGTGTTGTGCTTGGAAGTGGAGCTAAGCGCAAAACCCCCTCACACCCCACAGAATTTGACCGTGACCTCGATCTGCTTTGCAATCCAACGCACGTTTCCTCCGATATTGAAGGACCTACAACTTGTGGTGGCGGCCGATCCTCGTGATGGATCAACGGGTCATCAGGTTGCTTCTGGCTGGTATATTTCAACTCTAGTCCACCTACTTCCAAGGATTCAGGCTTCACCGGTTCGTCCTTAAGTGTCGAAACTCGTAGACGTGGTGCTGAATGCGACGTATTAAGACTGGCAACGTAGAGATTTGGCGAAGTCGACGTCCTGCCACGTCGTCTACCGGGAGCTAGTTTAAGGGGACCGGTGTTTCGTTGACTGGACCCTCCTACCGTATTCACGACCATAACACGACGCGCAGTGTTCAACAACGCATCCAGTTTATTCGGCGGGGTCTCGAGACTTGGCCGTTCATCCGTGATCTCAATTTCCATTCCACCTAGAATGTCATCTTGCCAGCGATCGTTCCCCAGCACGCTTCGATGCGTGTCCAACGTCCGTCGGCGTAGAAATTGTTCTGGTTCCGACAAACTCAATTCAAATAAATTTCTTAGGCTGTACACAGTACCCACACTCGATCGAGGAGCCGATGCAGCTCTTGGCTGGGCTGTGGGCTTGTCAGTACTGTCCACGGTGACCATTGAGGTTCGTCTCGTGGTAACTGGGGATAATGGATCTGAATCTGGATCATTTTCTTCAACTAAAAGTCGATAAGAGCCTTGCCCTTGAATTGAGTTTAACACCGAGTTGGGAGCGTCATGGGCCGCTTGTGCAACCATAATCCGCTGCTGACGCCCCTTTTGTCGACGCTCTTCAAGATCCTTATGCTTTGTTCTGCGTTCCGGAAGTGCTCGCTTTAATGGCGACAAACCCGGTGCTAAAGTGTATTCTTGCGCGGCAGCTGATGCATCAAGTTCGTAGAATGACGGGTGGTCAGACTCCTCGTAGTTCGTCTCCAGTTGCGCTTTCCACATCGTCTTGGAGTCAGCAACTGCCATGCGATGCAATATGCTTGCTTCGCTGCCCTTACGGTCAAACTTCCCTACGTCCATCTCACTGTCATCATCTCCATTTAAGCCAGAGCCTAAAAGTCGCATGGCTGATGCAACTGCTTCCATCGTCCGTTCCGAAGTTTTCTGTACACGGACAGCACGTTGATCCTGCCGCTTGGAGGGGAGATGCGGGTTCCTTTGCTTGTTTGGTGGGGTGCTGGTTGGTAATACTCGAGCCTTCTTTTTGACGTGTGGCTCGGGTTCCCGACACACAAGCTTCCCAACATCTCGCTGTCGATTTCCGATGATGTTGAGGTATGTGAGAATGCCGTTTGCCATTGCCTCGGGGGAGATCTCCTCGCTCTCTTCTGCTTCAGCTGGATAAGCTGCCCTATACAAGTATTCAGCCTTTTGCCGCGTCACGAATAGTGAATACTCATTTTCCACGTCATCTCGCGCTGCTACTCGAAACCCGTTTGCCCTCGCGGAATTCGAAGACGCTAATGGTGTGGAAGGTGCCGAACGAACTGGTGATAAAAGTGTCCCCGATGCTTTTGTTGGGGCGGTGTCTGGTACCTCGAAAATCTCAATCGTGAGGATTCTCCCACCGAGCGGAAGATTCTCGACCTGAAGCACGAGCTGCTCTTTTGGCTGTGAAGCAGGTCGGAATGAGCTAGAGTTTGATGCGCTCATAAGTAAGTCATTCGAAGCCAACAGCGACGTGCAAAGCTTTTGTCGAAAAACACTTCAGCGCTCGATCTTTAATTAGATGTCGAGATCACTTTTTTTTTTAAATAAAAAACGGAACCGTTGGGCCACATGGAACTGTTCATTCCTTCACTTTGATAAGTAATACATAGGTTTTTACGAGAAATCGTCGGCGGCAGCGACTGATTTTTTATCGGTAACGAAGTAATCCTGATAAGATGTTTGACTTGATTTCATTATCAAAGAGGCTGCCATTCAGTCTTTCTCCCATTTCGTCGGAGACGATCGCCGACGACAGCAACGCCACCTTATTGGCAGAGCGCAGATCAAACTGAAGAAGTCAGAATGAGTGACGGAATCGCGCAACTTGGGAGCACTGGGGCTCGGCCCACGACCAGGAGTGACGTCGAGGCAATACGAGACGCATGTGTATCTACCCAAACAAGACATAAGTACAGGAGCAGCATCAATAGGATAAAAAAGTGGATCCAAAATGAACTTGCCAAAGAGGACAGTAACACCAGCAGATTGTTTGATCACGAAGGCGAGCTTAATTTATTGGAGTTCACACCAAATCTTTTCGAGAAGTTTCTGGTGCACAAGAGCAGCTCTGTAAAGACTGGGACACTGAGTGGGTACCGGAGCGCAATTAAAGACATGTATCGCGCGAAACGCTTCAAACCACCTGCGGAATATGGCGATGACTTAAAGCAGCTTTTTTCCGGCATGAAACGAATTGAGGCTGACAATGATCAGACCACCAACCCAAAGAATTCTAGAAAACAGGCTCTAGCCTATTCTCTGTATAAGACGCTGTGCAAAGCGACACTCGAGGTCAATGATGGCGGCTTCTCTCACCTGTTTTTGACATCGCAGTGGAATTTGATGTGTAGATCAATGTCTGTTCAAACTATCCAGACACAGCACCTATTGGAAAGGGACGATAGCGTTGGGGTCATATTTGTCAAGACCAAGACAAATCAAGACGGTTCTGGGCCCCGAGACCCTCGTCACGTCTATTCAAACTCATTAAGTCCGGCAACATGCTGGGTAACTGCGTTGAAAATTTATCTCGCTTGCCACCCACGTCTTCAACCCGGAGCTCTGTTTCCAGGCTCCAACCAGAAACTGCGATTTAATAAAGTTTTGACACAGCTCCTAAAACTTGAAGAGTCTGCTAAAACTTATGGAACTCACTCAGTGCGGAAAGGTGTCGCTACATTTGCATGTGGAGGAAGTACAGGCGGTCCATCGATTGTGAGTGTCTGTCTTCGCTGTGGTTGGACTATTGGCGGGGTCCAGGATCGATACTTTCGCTACGAAGCCGCCGGAGATCAGTTTCTGGGGCGTGTGGTGGCTGGTCTTCCAGTGAATGACTCACGTTTTGCTTTATTGCCCCCTCATTTTCGCAGTGTAAAAAGTATTGTGACGTCAAATGTGCAAATAATGTTCCCGGGTCTTCCAGAGGATTTAAATTTATCGGGAGTATTGCGACTGAGTCTCGCTTCTCTTGTTTATCACGCAGAATATTTGCGACAGCATTTACCATTGAATCACCCCTTACTATCAACTCACATATTCGTCAATCCAGGCGTTCTTGACGAGCTTAAAGCCATGCTTGAAATTGGAGAATCGAGCTCGATGCAACCATCTGGAATCCCGCCGTACATTTAACTGTATAAGAAGCTGGACCGGCAGCAGCAATCTATTGACGACCTCCCTAGAAAGCTTGAAGAGAGAATGGAGCACGTTCTTGAAAAAAAGGGAGTAGCGGCTGGCAATATTACGAGGGACCTGCTGCGTGAGGAAATCAGAGCGCTGCTTGACGAAGTTGGGCTTCGCCGCGGGGCGGAAATTACGGACACTACCCCACTCCCAAGTCCTGTGCGTCACTACCACACATGGGGTGGTAAATTTCATGTGTTGCCCAAAGATTTTAATTTCCCGAGTATCGACCCTCTTGGAGCCTGGCTGCTGTGGTGGTTCGGTAACACAAAGCTCCACTATCCTCCGTACAAATATATTCCGACGGAAGAACTGGACTCACAAAAAAAGAAAGCAACCCTGTCAGAATGGTCCGTTATGATGCGACACATCATCAATGGAATTGAAGAAGAACTTTCCGCACCAATGCCAGCAATCACCGACGAGAAACACGCCATCAAGCTGTTCAACAAAGGCTACGCAACATTGAAATTAAAGCCGAGCAAACGAAAGCGTAGAGATGGTCAGCTTAAACTTACCACCGTATTGCGGCTAATCAGAGAGAACAACCGCGCACAAGATTCTCCACGCAGCCGTCCGTTCAGGCCCCGCAAGCGCCAAAAGGCCGCCTCCACCAGCGACTCCGAACGAACCACGCTTTCTGTGCATACAGAACCAAACGTCAGTAATAACGCTGCTAGAGAGGTTAACGAGAACCAGAGCAGCACAGTTACACCTGTGCTGCATTCGATAGAGTCGTTGTATCCACGAATAACGACGGCACCGGAGTTCATGTAGCCTCCTTCTTGTCTGTCAAAAGCAAGAATGTAGTACAGCTTCGTTTTCAATCTTTTTAACCAATCGGATGAGGGAACGAAAACGTCGCCATCTGCATCTTATGTTTTCTCAAGTCAATTCAATCTTTAGTCGTGGCCGGTCCCATGATTGTAAAAATAATTTTCCTTACCGACTCGATTATTTCCGATCCAAATAAATTCTCGCTGGTTTCATTTTCGTTTCTACCGCTTGCGATAAGATGCCACAAGACGCTGTCGACGCAGTTCAAGAAGTCGGGGCTAACCCGACCGCGCAGGAGGGCACGGGTGACGCCTCGGCCAAACGGGTAGGGCCGGATCATCTCGCAGCAGAGGCTGGAGTACAGATGGACGAGGAAGAAAAGGGAGATGAAAGCTCAGACTTACAGGTTCGGGAGCGAATGGATGACAGTGCAAGTACCAGCGACGCAGCCACTGTGATAATTGACCCGCCCGTTAAATACCATGCCAACTGGGAAGCTTGGCAGTCGGACTTCACCGAGTACTGCCGGCGGACGATGCAGGTCATCCCCGTTAAGGAGACAATGTCTCGAGCTGAGCGAAATAAGCGTCTAAAGAAGACCAAGAAAGGCTTGGATGAGAATCAGCTGGTACCGGAGGGATTTGATCCCTACCAGCGCACTTACATCTGCACTCACGGCTGGAAGAAGCGGAAGTCCCGTAGTGAAGGCAGCCGGCCACGGCAGCACATCCGGCTGACCAACTGTCCGTTTCGTTTCGTCGTTCAATGGAATTTAGTGCGGCGGGAGCTACAGGTTAAAAGTGGATTGTTCTCTCACAACCATCAAGTTTCTCCAGCCGCTTTCGCTACGTACCCCACGTCGCGAGGTGTATTCGACCCGCTGGTAAGCGCCCGTGTGCAGGGACTGTTGGAAGTTGGCGCGAAACGCTCTCGAATCTATGACTATCTATTAGAACACGACCAGAACGTCGTGCAGGCTGATGTTGACAATTTAGTCCGAGATTACTCCTCCTCTGAGACAGACGTGGATGACAACGAGGCGGCGGCTAGATAACTGGCACTCTTTGCGGCTGCTCATCCTATAAATTTTTCGACAGTTGCAGATACGGATTGCGGTGAAACCGGAGTGATTTCCCTAGCGTGTGCGCACATGCGGCGGTTGTTTGCGCGTTTTAGTGAGGTTTTACTAGTAGACTGTACCCACAAGACAAATCGGTACGTGTCGGTTCTCATGACGGATTATTATACTGGGTTTGTACAGGACTAATAAACTTGTAATCCATGATTATTTGTAGATACAATTATCAGCTTCTAACGTTCATGTGTATGAACGAGTTCGGAGAGGGAGCGGTTGTTCAACAGTCTCTAATCGAAGCGAATGGGGACTGAGAGCCGTTTCACACTTTAAGAGGTTCCACCCCACCCGTATGAAGTTGCTGCGCGTAATCGTTGTGGACAAGGACATGAACGAGATAAGGGTCCTAGAGGCAAACTTTCCTGATGCGCGTATCCTGATTTGTCACTTTCATGTGATTAAATACCTGAAGGAGATGCGATCAAAACCAGAGTTCGGCAAAATATCGTCTGACGACGCAAGTCAAATTGATGCCGCAGTGCACAAGATGGTCTACGCAGTCTCTGAGGAGACGTATAACGAGGCTCGTGTATCTTTGAAGGGCATATGTGAGCGATGTGGAATGGATCGCTTCTTCACGTACTTCGAGAAGAATTGGCACTCGAGCACGGAGCTTTGGGTGTACTATCTTCGGGCAACGCTGCCCCACTTCAACAACCATACAAACAACAGGCTGGAGAGCTATTTTGGAAAACTAAAGGAAGGAGTTGACGGCTCGATGAGTATGGCAAAATGTATTAAGGCGTTGGTTTCATTTGACAGGAGGAAACAGACAGATTACGAGTACCGGTTGACTCGAATAGGACAGTTCCGCAATTCAAACTACGATGAGGAGTTGTCGACTGTACTTCGTTTCACAACGCACTATGTAGCTCAGCAGATTGAGCTTCAGTACACTGTAGGTTTGGAGAAGGCTTCTATCTACAACTTCAAGAAGGACGCTATAAATTCAAGCGTGATTACAGTATGCGGCCGTAACAAGGAGCATACTCTGCGCACCGATGATTGGATATGCGACTGTGAGCTTGCTGCATCGATGAGTTTGCCTTGCCGCCATGCGATAGCTTATCGCCGTCGCACCAAAGTGATCGGTCCGGTGATTCCTTGGAATCAAATAGACGAAAGGTAAGTCTTAGGAGATATCATACATTTGGGAATAAAATCCTGGATACGTACAGGATCTGAGCTTCTTTCAATCTGTAGTATTTACTAATGATCGATGTCCATGATCGGCAGATGGACGAAAACATCAATGGAACTCAAGCGAGTACGTCAGTTTGCGTACGAGAAATTCGTTGACTGTTCTGGAAAACATCAAGGATAAAGTCAGAACTCATTCGGAGCGATACCGGGAGGCAGTCCGTGCTACTCACTTAATTGCAAGCGAATTGGCTGAGATTGAAGACCCTGCGGAGTTTGACGATATGCTGAGGTTCATGATGACGCAGTGGAGAAACGTCCGGCAGAAGAAAATCGCTGTGGAGATTCCGGAACATGTGAAGGATAATGCCGCGGTAGTCGAAGAGAAACAAGACTCAAGTAATGGTGATGAGTTTGACATAAGAAGCAGTGACGACAATAGTTTTCACAGCGAAAGCCCCAAGCCTGATGATGTGAAACAAACGACGAATTTGCCAGTGAGTGCCGTGACTATACGACTTAATCCGAAGGCTAGAAAGGTTGGGGCTCCGAAAAAAATGAAGAAGAAGATTGTGGCGGGTGAGCGGAGTGACAGAAAATGGTACGAAGCGGCCGAGCAAGGCAGGAAAAAAGCTGGAGACGTGACACTACTAGCCGTCGTGGATAGTTTAGATCGTGGTCAACCCGGTCTTTGTGAGGTAGAGAGACGTTTGTCTGGTGTTATTGTGAAGTATGCAGATGCAGACAAGAAAAAAACCGAAGCTGCACAAGATGAACAATCCTGTTTTAATTCAGGATCCATTCTACCTGCTCCCTACAAAGCTGTTGGACGCATGCATGAACTTACTTCCGGTCTCTAATTCGAAGGAAGACGCCATTGCAATCGATCAGTCTCAACCGAGTCAGGAAACGGATAGCAAACCCGTCAAATCAGTGGAAACCGTGGTTATCAAAGACGTTGGGTGTTTCTCGCGGAAGCAGATCGAAGCGTTTAAACGTGTTGCAAACTTGAAAGAACTTGTACAGTTGGGTCAGGATATGCACAAATGGCTACTTGAAGACGGGATTCCTTCTCTTCCAGCTGAATACCATCACATCGGGGCCCAAGTTGCAGCCGAAGTTATAGAAACGTACCCGTACAAACGAATAGATGGCCTCCCGGATGCGCCGGATTACAGCTACGCAATGCTGTACAGAGCAGTTCCTCCGATGTGGCTTACAGATGCCGCCATAAGCGCATTATGCTTGCGGCTTTCGTACGATTACCGATCCTGTCGTTTTGCAGGATTCCAGTCCTGTGTTGCTAAAACGAGGCGTAAGCGAAATGAGGACTATCGTCCTGTTGATGAAGCTGTACGGGATCGTGTATTACAGCAAGTTATGGAGGAAGAGGTGGACACGGTCATGCTGCCGTTAAACGTCGAGAATTTTCACTGGTGCTGCGTTACTGTTAAAGTCAGCTCAAAGCGTATCTACTACTACGACCCGTTGAATCAAGCCACGTACAAGAGCACCGGTAAAGCTGTGGCGACGCATCTCAAGACTAGCGGACTGCATGAGTATGACGTGATCGCGCAAATGAACTTCATCCAATTCGATGGGCATAGCTGTGGATTTTACGTGTGCTGGCAGTTCATACGTCAAGTACTAACAGGACGACACTTGGAAATTAACGACACTTCGCTGAAAAGAAGACGTTTCGAACTTTTCTACTACTTGCTGTCTGGACAGCTTCTTTCGGTGGTGACCGAGAGCTCAGCAGATACGACGACAAACGACAACACAGAAGAGAAACAGCCTGCCCCGAACGCTAGTGAAGATGACAATGTGGATGATGTCATTCCACCTACACAACCTGCGCAGTGAAATGGACGTAGGAAACGAAGTTAGAGTCTTGGTAAGGCTAAATGCAATGACTTCAGGTTTGATCACCAAGCTCACCCGAATTGTGTAGAAGATCGAGCATCTATAGCAAAGATAAGGCAAAGATCCATTCGTCTAGTGATAAGTCCCAATCCAGAATTTAATCTTGGACGAATACAGGATTAATCCTGAGCGACTTACCGCCACACATTTCGAATCTTACCCGTCCTCGAGGAATCTTCTCGTATCTTCCCCTTATCGTACTCATTTAAGGTAGATTTTGATGTCCAGGATTAATCCTGACATCAGTCTTATACAAGTCCACGTAAACAATCCTGGCCTCCAACAGCCGCCAATAAAAAATACTTCCTCCGTATCGTAAAATTATCGACATTTCGATTTGACTAATCGTTGGGGCGCCTCTATTACTGTATAACCCGTCACTTTTTACGGTAAAATTGAAACCACGACGCTCTATTGGACAATATAACTTAGGCTGCGCAGCTGGCAAAACTCGCAGCACGATGAGAGTTTGCAGCCACCCAAAACATGAGGGGTCCGCAAAACCGCCCGCCACACTTCCAATTTGGCCCAGACAGACAAGCAATCATGGTTAAGCGCAGCGTCAGTGAATCAGCTTGCCGTGCCATCTTACACGGCCTTCTAAAGCGCACTATTGACGGGGGCTGCCTTATGGAGCACAGCAATCCGTTTAGTGTACACAGGCAGACGGTTGAAAGTATTTGGAAACCCTACAGGGAGTCTGTGACTTCGGGGAATATCGCTGGTGATATTAAGTGCAAGTATAAAGGCAGCTCGGACAGGAAAGGCTACGATAAAAAGAAAATTAAGCAAAAGCTCGAAGCTATACCAGCTCACCAACGATCAACCATTCGTGCTACAACACTCAGTGCCAAGGTCTCCGTTGGCGTCATTCAACGTCTGCTTGCAAGTCATGAGGTTGCAGCTAAGACAACAGCGATCAAACCCGTGTTAGCGGAGGCAAACAGGCATCGACGTGTCCAATACTCACTCTCATTTCTTGAAGCCAAATCTCGCCAACATGGCGACAGTTTTGGTTATGGGTTTAACCCCATGCTCAACATCGTCCACGCTGACGAGAAGTGGTTTAACCACGACAGGAAGACACGCAGATACTACCTGACCAAAGGAGAGAAGGCGCCCCAACGTCACCGGCGTAGCGCACACAATATCGAGAAGACCATGTTCTTGGCAACCGTAGCAAGACCGAGATAAACTCTAAACATTTGATATCCTCTCAGAAAGTATATTCTTACGAAACCCATGTTCATGATTGTAGGTGGGATGCTCACCGGAAAGCTGAGTTTGATGGCAAGATTCGCTTATGGCCGCTTACGGAAGACTATGTGACTCAACGTAGCAGTAAAAACAGACCGGCGGATGCCAAGCTGAAGCGCAATATCAAGTCTGTGAATGCGGAAGTTTACAAGCACTTTTTTCTAGACTTTGTTTTCGCGGCGATACGGCATAGTGGCCGCGTCGAGACAGAGGGAAAACTATTTACGTGCAACAAGACAATGCAACCCCGCATATCCATCCAAAAGCGACCCGGACGTGCTGCGGGAAGGTAACCATGATGGCTGGACCATCCGCCTAATCTTTCAGCCCCCGAGCTCGCCCGACCTAAACTGCCTCAACTTAGGCTTTTTCTCAGGTACCCAGACACTACAGTACAAAACTTACGCTGCAACCACGGAGCAGCTCATCGAAGTAATCCAAACATCGTTTAGAAACTTAGATACGAGTAAGCTAGATCACATTTTTCTCACCCTACAACAAGTTATGGGGTGCATATTAGCGTGTAACGGCGGCAACGTATATAAGCTTCCTCACCTTGGGAAGTCAAAACTGCGACGTCAAGGGAAGCTTCCTCGGTATATCGTATGCGACGCCGCTGTAGTGAGGACGTCTAGGGACCATCTCCTCTAGCCACAACGTATATCCCTCTAAAATGATAATTTACGAAATGTGTGTGGGTCACATTACAATTACCACCACTCCTACAATGTCGATAATTTTACGATACGGAGGAAGTAGAGCTTTAAAAGGGCCAAATCGGTCGATCCAGGGCTCGTGCATCTCGAGCCAGGGCATGCCCAGGATCATATCGTAGGGATCCATGTCGAGAACAGTAAACTGTTCTGGGCTGTCAAAGTCTTCAAATTTGACGGCCAGAAACACTTGGACGTTGGGGACAGTGACGGCCTTCCGTCGGCCAGTCGCACAGAAATCGCCAGCTGCATTTGCTGTCTCTCAAAGCATCGGAAAAACGTGTTGCTAATACGAGCAATTGTCTGGCGGCGTGCGAAATTCTGCGACGCCCAGAATCGATCAAGCTTCTACTGGGATGATCGTATCCCCGTACACATCCGTGTACTACGAGCAGCCCGCCGCTGCTCTTCGCCGATTCGAAAGTGTGCAGACTTGCAGGGGCTAAGTCCCCGTGGTACGCGCCACCCGCGCACCCCTCACGAAGACTTAATTGTTCCCCAGTAGGGTGCCCCACCCCTACTGGTCTCCGGCGTTCCCCTGTCCCCGAGATCCTGGCTTCTGCCAGCGACCCTTGAGGACGGGCTTGGGGAAAGTCCGCCTGCGGTGTCTCTCCGCGGGACAGCTACGCTTGAAGTGGCCCAGTTTCCCGCAGCCAAAGCAGCGAATGTCGCGCTGCTCGGCGGACGCGAGTTCCATGGGAACTGGTCCGTTGGGGTTCGCTCGACCGGGATTTGACAAAGCATTCCCAGGCCATGCTGAGGCCGACGTGCGCGCCTGGCGATGGCTGTATTCTTCCTGAAGAGCCACTTGAATCGCCTCGTCGAAGGTGCTTGCTGCACCCGGAACAGCTGAGTGCGTGCCGGGCACACTCGAAGGCCGTCCTTGAACACATTCACCTTGATGTGTTCGTTGAGTGGGCTGCCCACTAGGGACGCCGTGACCTCCCGTATCGCTTGGACGTACTCGTGCAGCTCGCGCCTTCCTTGCTTGCATGAGAGGAAGCGCGAACGCTGCCGGTACTCGTAGATCGCCACGATGAACGCGGCTCGGAGCTGCTCGCACAGCTGAGCCCAGGATGTGAAACATCCAGGCGATGTCGCCTCCCGCGTGTACACCCAACTCTTAGCACGACCGCTAAGGTTGGAGAGCGCAAAAGCAACGCGGAGCTGTTTGGTCGAGATCCGAGCCGCGTCCATCGCGAGCTTCTCGAACCCAGAAATGAAGGCTCTCACCTTCCTTCCCTTCATACGACTTCACCTTCAGCCGTATTGGCTTCGGGTGTGGCGGACTTGTTTCTGCCGCCGGAGCCTGTAGGTTTCCCGCACATGTGCGATGAGCCCTTGCTCGTAAGCGTCAAACGCATTGACACGCTCGAGATGCTCGGCCGGTGTTGACGCCACCAGGCTCTGCAGGGCCTCCATCCCGAATATGCCAGCCATCGTCCAAACCGACTCAAACTGTGAGTCGTTCAGATGGGAGGAGTCGCTCCTATCCATGGCAACGAACTTTAGAGAGGTTCAGGTAGTCTACCTGCGTTGGCGTGGATTGACTATAAGTGCGACCAAGTGTGACGGGGTCACACAGCACCTTGCGCTTGGCTTCCGAGAGTATACAAACTCCCAGTGAGCAGTAGCTCACAGGTCTCTTTTGTCTAAGGGAGCGAAGTGACCATTTTAAGGTAAGTTGTACTGTGCATTTCAATAATTTTGTCGTTTTCACTTAGCCTGATGCTGGATTTATAATAAAAAGAGGTCGTTTTATTTAATCAAGGTCTATCAAAGGTACAAATCGATATTGCTAGACTGGCTGATAAATCGAGCTACGGTAGCCAAATCGACCGCTCGGGATCGATCAACCACCAAATCCACATCGATATCCTGTAAATCGATCCTTTTTGCCGCTTTGAAATGGTAATTCGATCACAGATAAAACAAACCGTTGCCTGCCTCTTCTCATCTCATTTTTATGCGTGATTTTATGCTCCGACCATGCTCGATCTAGGCCATAAAACGGATGGACATTCTATCATAAAAGCACAATAACTGAATGTAGTAGGTATTTATAGGTAGGCTAAGCTTCATTAAATTTACAAACTAAAAGTCACCTAAAGAAGGGCAATGTCATCAGCCAATGATTGGCCTCGGACGACCCTGGTACCATGTACCAGATATCCCGAAGTGTGACGTGTCACACTTCATGTAGCTTGGGGTACACTTAAGGCTACGTACCCCGTTACATGAAGGCTGTCTCTTGTGTCCTCTGCCACTACAGGCTACTGTATACGAAGGTCGTGGTGGTTAAATTCGATTTCAAGTAGTATTTGGCTATTAATAGTTTAATGTTTCTGTACAGTATTGTTGTTTTCACCCAAATTTGTAGGGATTGGGGGGAAACTTGGAGTTTTTCGAATCTATTGCAGCTGGCTTTTAACCAATCAGAGGTGGCCTACGCCTGGGCTTCACTTCGGAGAACGATGAGCCTAGCAACACCGGCCTAGCGCAGCCCCCCTCGACGCGTTTCGCTCGATGATAGCACGCCGAACCAAGCCCAAGCTGCGCGAGGTCCCAGTCCTCGCTCCTCGCCGTACCGAAGACGAAGCCCACATCTTGAACTTGGGGAAATTACCTCGCACGCTCCGTTGATCAAACTCTTCGTCGATGTGTGCTTGAAGAACACGGTCAATCAGCGTCTGTCATCGTCAGGACGGATGGGTACACACAGAGCTCAATGCGATACATGGGATAAGGTGAAGACCAAGCTTTGGAACATCATCTACCGCGAATTGAAGTCATTGGTCGCTCTGATTGGAGCTCCACCAGCCTGGACAGTTGATGAACAGGACCCAGCAATCGAGACGCTCGAGATGTACACCTCTATGAGGATGAAACCAAGATGCTGGATCCGTGGGACAAGTGCGAAAGATCGTCGATACTTGGTGAAAAACCAGCACAAATTCGACTTGCACTCTG